CAAGCCTAAATATATCTTATTGACTTGGCTACTACTGCTTTTTTTACAACTTTATCCACTACATCCGAGCCCTGTAGTTTTAAATATGCTATGAAGTTCCCATATTAGCTTGCCGCCATGTGTGAAGAAATTGACGCTTTGCATTCTAATCACACCTGGGATTTAGTGTATCCACCAGTCGGTGTTAATATCGTTGGGTCAAAATGGGTATTTCGGACAAAATACCATTCTGATGGCTCTATTGAATGTTATAAGGCCCGTCTTGTTGCTCAGGGGTTTACACAGGTTCCGAGCGCTGATTTTCAACACACTTTTAGCCCCGTCGTCAAGGCTGCTACCGTTCATGTTATTTTGGCTCTTGCTATTCACCACAAATGGGAGCTCCATCAACTGGATGTAAAAACTGCTTTCCTCAATTGCATTCTCACTACGCCCGTGTATATGGCCCAGCCTCCAAGCTTCATCGACTCTCGTTATCCATCTCATGTTTTTCCGTTTCAACAAGGCACTTTACGGTCTATGACAGGCTCCTTTGGCATGGTTTCAACGCTTCAGCACCTTTCTCACTACCTTAGAGTTCCGACAGAGCCGATCAGATCATTCTCTCTTTTCTTTGCATATTGGTGCTTCTGTGATCTTTCTTCTGTTGTATGTTGATGACATTATCATCACAGGAAGTTCTTTTGCTTTAATTCAGAAGCTCATATGTCGCATGAATATGGAATTTGCAGTCAAAGATCTTGGAAATCCAAACTATTTCTTGGGCTTGGAAATCTCTTTCACTTTGTAGGGCCTTTTCGTTGGCCAAGCTAAGTATGCTCATGATATCCTAGAGAGAGCTCAGTTGGTGGATTCTAAGCTGTTCACCACACCTCTTGCCGCATGATGCTCATTTACTACCGATGGCCTACTATTTAATGACCCTACTCTCTATCGATCCATTGTTGGTGCATTGCAGTATCTCACCATCACTCGTCCTGATCTTTCATATGCCGTCAGTCAAGTTAGTCAGTTCCTGCATACACCTTTGGTTGCTCACTATAATGTTGTTAAGCGAATACTTCGATATGTCAAAGGTATGCTGCACTTTGACCTTTCCTTCACTGCCCAACCTGAACTGTCTATCCTAGCATATTCGGATGCAGATTGGGCACTTTGCCCCGAGACCCAACATTCCACGTACGACTACTCTATATTTCTCGGTGGTAACCTTGTTTCTTGGAGTGCAAAGAAGCAACCTACTGTCGCCCGCTCGAGCTGTGAGTCGGAGTATCGAGCTTTGGGTAATACAAATTCGGAGGTTCAATGGTTAGTCAACCTGTTATCTGAGCTTCGCATTTCTATACCACGGCCCACTCTTCTTTGCGACAACAAGAGTGCTATTTTCTCAGCCGAAATCCTGTGCTCATAAACGGGCGAAACATATTGACATTGATTGCCACTTTGTTTGGGAATTAGTGTCGTCTGGTCAGTTGTATACTTAACATGTACCATATGTTCTCCAGTTGGCCGACATCTTCACAAAGAGTCTTCCTCGCCCTGCTTTCGAGTTGTTGCGTTCCAAGCTCTGTGTTTTGCCTCACCCCGCGCCTCGCTTGACGGGGGGTAATAAGGGTAGTATATAATTTCCTAAATTATTGTAATCTTTTATTTATGTAATCACGTAATTTGTGGGATTTTATTGTATAACATTATATAAGATCAATGCCAATCTCAATCATCAAGCAATTTTTGGGTGATTATTTTCTACATCATTTCAATTTTAGCTGGCATTAATGGAAGGAGGATAGCTTCTCTGCTTGGAAATTTTGTTTTTGCAATTATCTGTGGAGGATAGCTTCACTGATTGGATATTTTGTTTTTGTAATTATCTGTGGATTTTGCAGCATTAGGAATGAAAATTAAATGACAATATATGAAATACTTGTATTCACTGCATATGCAATTATTTGAAGGGAAAAAATGGTGGGAAAATGATCCGAGCTAGTTATGAGATGGACAATCTAACGGTATGGTTATTATTGGCCTTCAATGAGAGAGGATTGCATTAAGTATGCTTAAGGATGTGAAATATGTTAGCGGTATGACCCTTTAATCCGTATTCCAGCGGAAGAAATGTATGCAGTATTAAAACCATGGCCATTCTGAGGATGAGCGATGGATATCATTGGAGAGATTCATCCGTCATCTTCCAGAAGACATTCATTCATATTGGTGGCCACCAATTATTTCACAAAATGGATTGAAGCCGTACCATTGGCCAACGTGATATATCAAGAAGTGATTAAGTTCATCAAGGAACATATTATTCACCGGTATGGAATCCCTCAAACGATTACGGCCGATCAAGGTACTGTTTTCACTCGTGACAAAGTAGCCGGTTTTCCCGCACAGTTTGGGATCAGTCTTTTGCATCCATCCCGTATTATGCGCAGGCAAACGAGCATGTTAAACTAGCCAATAAAGTCTTAATCGGAGTAATTAAAAAATCTGTAAAGGATAATCCGAGAAAGTGGCACGAAGTGTTGGGGAAAGCTTTATGGGCCTGCAGACAATACCGAAACAAAGCTACCGACTGCACTCCATTCTAGCTGGTCTACGGGCAAGAAACGGTATTACTGTTGGAAATAACAGTGTTGTCTTTGTGAGTCCTAAAGCATAATTTGCTCAGCCCTGAGCAATACGATACTACTATGCTACAAAGGTTGGATGACGTGCATGAAGATCGGATAATGGCCTTGGAGAATATCCAATCAAACAAAGTGAAAGTGGCATGTGCCTACAACAGAAAAGTACACCGACGAGTTTTCCACGAAAGGGATTTGGTGTGGAGGGCAGTTTTACCCGAAGGCTTCAAAGATAACACATTCGGTAAATGGTCTCCTACGTGGGAGGTCCATATCAAGTAACTAAGGTGTTACCAAATGGTGCTTATAGGCTGATGAATATTTACGGGGAATTAACATAGAAATATTATTAATGCTAGACACCTTAAGGGGTATATGTCGCCTCTTGAGTTATAGTGAAAAAACGAAGTAGATAAATGAAATGAGGTCTTTTCTAGACCGCTAAGTTAAGAACAAAATGAAAGCAGGTCTTTTTCAGACCGCTAAGTTCAAAATCAAATGGAAGCTATGGCCGGAAAAAATAAATACAATCCGAAAGTCCGATCCGAGCACGACAAGAAAAACTGTGCTTGGGCCTCCAAAAGTAGGCTCAAAAATTTTCGGGCCGTGAAAAAACACATAACTCACACACGTACAAGAAAAACAACTCGAATATTTTCTTACTTTCCTCTTGTCTTAGAATTGTTTTTTTATTCGTTTATATATTTTAGTTTGAATTGAGTATTTTCTGCAACTCGTTTTATCTGCTTTCCGTAAATCATTTTGGTTCATCTTGATCGATTACGTGAGATCTTAGTGACCTGACAACGGATAGATTCTTTGGAGTACTTCCAGAATCAACACCGACAAATCGGCGAATGATTTTAAAGTATCCGAATTATAGGATCCAACAAGTACATAGAAAGAAAATGTGTTTAATGTCGATACATTTAGTATTAAAAAGATAAGTTAATATGTAAAATTGTAAGTAAAAGATTTGTTAGCTTACTTCAATATTCATTCTACTCGTATATTTTAAATATTGTTATATTCTAATTTGAATGGGATTGATATTTGTTTTTCTTGTTTTTGGTGTTATTTCTTTAATATATTATTGTCTATTGATCAAAATTATTTTAAAATTCGGTATATTATTATTTTGTATGGTTCGGTGTGAAACGGTATGTATCAAGTATAATGTGCAATATACGAATATCGTTTAAATTTTGGTATTTCGGTATAATACGATATATGCCAATATCGTTTAAATTTTTGTTTTTTTTATATAATACGGTATATATTGATACGTTTAAATTTTTATATTTCGGTATAATACGATATATATTAATATCATTTAAGTTTCGATATTTCAAAATAATACGGTATATATCTATACCATATTTCGGTATAATACGATATATATTGATAATGTACGGATAATTCGGTATACCGAATAATCGGTACGGTATAATATAAAATAATATCATACATAATTTTCGATATACCAATTTCTCGATTCAATAATGGTATGGTAAATTACCATACCTAGTATTTCGGTACGATATGCGATATATGGTATAAATTTCGGTATACCGTACCGTACCGATCCATCACAATTAAAAAAACATTTGAGGATGGACATCAATAGTATTTATTGATTTAATTTGAGCTGCTAACATGTATAATTGAGACCATGCCCAAATTTAGAATAAATAAAATATTCAAACAAAAAAAATATTATTATTGAAAAAAATTGAGATGCAAATAATTTATAAAAATATATATATAACAATGTGAGGGCCACTAAGAATTTTTTTTTTTTTTTTGCTACAATAATTGGTAAACAAAGATTGTGATGTAGATAGTAGTCCGTAAGCAAGTTGTCTTGCCCCAACTATCCATTTCAAACAGGTCACTATTTTTTTTTTGGCATGACAAGTAAATAACTTTGACTCTACTACAATATGAATTTGGAGATATGCTTCACATAATAATTATTAGCATAAATTTACTTGCCCAATATTCTACTTTTTTTTTTCCATAACTGTCATTCTCGAACTAAAACTCTTCTTCAAATAATCTTTTAAAGTAGACTGTAAAACTCACCGTCCGTGATTAAAATATTCTGGATTAAGAAAAAATTGTACAAATCATACAAATCTTTAAAGATTGATTTATAGATGTGACATCATTGACAATTGGACAACTGATATATCATAACAGTAAACATCTAAAAAAGTATATATGCATATTATTTTGGGCCACATTAGATATAAATATATAATACATATAAAATAAATTTCAGGATCCTATCTGGAGCGTCATTTTGGCGTTATAAAACATCAAATTGAAATATTTTTTAAACACAATAATTTTAAAACTTAATCAGAAGCCTAAGTAGAATATATGTATATATATATATATATATATATATTAGTCCAAATAAGTCGTCAAAAGAAAATAAAGGAGAATCCCAAAAACTTACAAAACAACGTTAGCAGAAAAAGCACCAAGCAAGTCGAACATGTTAACTTCCAAGTAACTATCTATCTAACAAGCCGATTCAACAAGAGTCTGTCTGCAACTTATGTTATTCAGCATATATTTATATAAGAACATACGTACCATCATCATTTGACCATGCAGATCTTGATCACCGATGCAGATCCGATCCGGTGAAGGGCAACAACGGCGTCGCCGGGCGTGCAAAGCCCCCTATTAGTAGCGTACTTCAGGGCGCCCTCCAAAATGACCTCCGTCGATTCAGTATCCGTAGCTTTTGCTGATCCTTCGGCCAGAACGGGAATCAGGCCACGGTACACCAGACTCTGCTTCGCCGGGGCTTCATCGCTGATCGACCAGTCGAAGGAGTCAGTCGTTACGACTGGGACCACTACGGATAGAATCGGGACTGCCGGCCTGTACTTGGCAACCAACTTGGCGGTTGTCCCACCGCGCGTCATCACTACGATGAGCTTCGCTCTAGCCTTGTTTGCGGTGCGCACGGCGGAGGAGGCGAGCGACTCGAGTGGGCTCATGGGGAGCGGGGTGGACTTGATCATTCCTTTGAAGATAGCCGCGTAATCGAGGGAAGACTCCGCCTCGATACATATCCTAGCCATGATTTTTACGGCAAGTTCGGGATAGGCTCCAGCAGCACTCTCCCCGGAGAGCATCACGCAATCGGTGCCATCCAGGACCGCATTAGCCACATCCGTAGCCTCGGCGCGTGTTGGCCTCGGAGACTTGATCATGGACTCCAGCATCTGTGTGGCAGTCACGACAGGCTTTCCGGCAAGGTTACACTTGTAAATCATCATTTTCTGAGCTAGGAATATCTTCTCGACTGGGATTTCCATTCCCAAATCACCGCGCGCAACCATGAATGAGTCGGTCTCACGGAGAATTTCGTCAAAGTTGATAACTCCCTCTTGGTTTTCAACCTTGGATAGAACACATATGAAAAGCATTATGCGATGATTAATGAGGGAGTCGAACACTAACAAAAAGATGTAAGACCAGCATACCTTCGACATCAGCTGTATACTCTTGGCATGAGGACCAAGAACCTTTCGGACATTAACTAGATCGGATCCTTTGCGCACAAATGAGAGAGCAATCATATCGATATTATTTGGAACACCCCACCCAAGAATATCTTCCTTGTCCTTCTCAGTAAGTGTAGGGAGATCCACAACAACACCAGGTAAATTGACATTTTTTCGCTCACCTAACATAGCAGTGTTCTGACAGCGGCATCTCACAGTTCCGGCAGCAGGGTCACACGATAAAACATTGAGTGTTATGGTACCATCAGCACAGAGAATAGTATTTCCAGGTTTCAAGTCAACTGCCAATTTTTGGTAACTCATCGAAATCATTTCTTCGTCTCCTTTAATGGAGTAATCAGTGGTTACAGTGATTTCCTGGCCTTCCTTAAGCTGAATGGGCTTTCCATCCTTCAGAAAACCAGTTCGAATCTCCGGACCCTGAAATATGCACGCTCGTAATAACAACTTTAAGTACCAAGACTTCATTTTGCAAGTATAAAGCTCCAAAAACGTTATGAAAACCTAAATCCAAGTGAGTAAAATTCACCACCACCACGGGTAACCCGAATATATTACATTCTGAATTACAGAAAATATTAGGTGGGAGAACACAAAAATATCCAATCAGACAAACTTGACACCACTATCCGAAGGAGTGATGGTTATACAAACTTTTGCAAGGAAATTCAATTGGAAACCTATTAGAAACTTCAAACATATATATTCAACGCCAAATGAATACCAAAAGCAAGCCACAATGTATCATGAGTCCTTAGTACTTTAAGTACATATCTATAAAGAAAAATGGATCTTTCAATTCAAATGTTAAGGTCTTATTTCGTAATGAATCTTTAGCATCATGATAAGCATATGACGAAATAAAACTTATGATGAAATGGATTATCAACTATAAGAATCAATAATTAAGCTTCTTATATTATCTCAGTTCATAATTCATTCCTCGAAATTTCCTTTTATTCATTCCAGGTAACTGCCAAGACAAGAAAGGATAAAATCCCGAACCCAACCATGTTTTTGGAATGTGAATGCAAGATTGCAATCTTACACAATTCTTCAGGCTTTATATTAAAAAGAGTCCCCTAATTAGCCGAAATATGGAGGCTATGAAACAAGCAGCAAACTATAGGGAATCAAATAGCAGAAATTTCAGCAAATCCAACGAACCTTGGTATCAAGCATGACAGCACAAAGGATCTGAGTGTTGTGCATAGCAATCTTGAGATTGTCGAGAGTCTCCTGATGGTATTCATGAGTACCGTGCGAGAAGTTGAACCGAGCAACATTCATTCCAGCCCTAAGCAGCTTCTCCAGCATCGGCACCGACCTCGAAGCCGGCCCCAAAGTGCATACAATCTTCGTCTTGGGGATCTGTCCACCGTACGGCTGCTCCTTCAGGATTCCGTCAATGTCTATGGTCGCCATATCTGACTGTATCCGGATTCTCCTTATATACCTACAAACAAAAAACACACACAAGATCAACAACTGACCTACAAAGAAATCAATAATCCGACCACTCTCGAAAACCGTAAAACGAGCAGATCCGAACAGGAGACAGAAGATCAAGCAACACAAACACGGTTACTATTATTGTTAGTTAGAGAAACACAAAACCTAACTCACTCTCAACCAAAAATCGAACAAAAGCGCATGAAACGCCAATTAACAGTGTCACTTTCAAAGCGCACCGACTGCCTGCGGACCACTCAGCCGCCTAAACCGAATCGTAATAAAACCACGTTCCACCTCTTATCAAATTGAAATTAACAACAACAAAGATGTTGAGGCAGCGATAGAGAAGCGTAGCTCGTGAGAAGACGTTACCTACTTACTTACCCAGCTGACCTGAGGTTGGTTGAGCAATTTGAAAAGGCAACGACGCAGATGGGTCGGCTTCTACTCTCTGTCTTTGTCTCTGTATTTATCTGTACCAGGGCGTTTTTAAAACTTTTAAATTATTATAAATATAGTATTTTTAGAACGGATCACTAAAATCCCAAACCCTATTTTTATGTTTGAGTTCAGTCCCATCAATGATTTTTACACACTGCACTCCTTACTTTCTAATAAATATTACTACTAACTCCCCACACTAATCTTAATGATATTAATGCCCTTCTCTCTCAAATATCTATTTATCATTTCTGATATAGTGTGTTTCTCGTTAAGTTATTTTCGCGCGAAGAAGTTCTGTTCAACCTTCTGTTTCATTTGCGCGTGGTCGATAGGAATGGTGATATCAAATCAAAATCACAATTCTTAGGTTTATTTCGCACAAAGAAAACACGGGTAAGAGGAAGCACATCTTTCGAATATTTTTTGTTGTAATAATTTTGTTGATTGACTACAATGGCGTTGTTAGGGCTCACAATCGATTCTACCCACGTTCCATTGAAGACGATATCGGAACTTAGGTATGATCGATCTATCTTCACTATTATTTGATATTAGAAGTAACCGCGATCGATGAAATGATTTGTGTGATCGATCCACGTTGTCGTCTGGTTCTTGGAGATAATTTTCATTTTATGGTAGGTATCGATAAAATATGAAGTTTTCTATCAGTATAAAACAATAAGTTTAAATTTTGAAAAAAAAAATACTTTTTAGGTTTAACTTTTCAGTATAAATATTTATTGTTGATCTGTGCTGATTAATATAGTTATATATTAAATTTTGATGATTGTAATTTGTATTTATTGATTTTGTAATACCATTGGAGAGAAATGAAGAATTATATTTTGTATTTGGTGAATTAACAACATTCAATGGATAGAGAGGAGTGTAATCCCAAATTGTTAATCATGTGTACATATGGAGGGGAGCTTTGATAACAGAAAAATGTACATTTGTTATTGTATATTAATTCGCAGGGAATTTTATTCGAAAATCAATGAGTAGAGTTTTTATAGAAGAATGGTCAGATATAGCAATTATGTGGTTGTAGACCCTGGATAGTTATCACAATTATTTATACTCTTTTTACTGGTGAGTTTCCAGGTCGAACACAGGGATTTAAAGTCATGAATTTCAATATTAAAAATCTTGGAGAAGCGACGAAGAAACAAAAGGGGAGCCCGCTTCGAGCGGAGAACCTTCAACTACTGAAAGCAGTAAATAAAGCAGTAAACATGAACGGGGGTGAGCGAAGCGAAAGTGATAGGATTGGGATGCGAGCGAGCGGCCTGATATATGTATATGTACATGAGCGAAGTAGAGTGAAAGAGAAGCGTTGTGTCTGAGCTGTGCGTTACTAAATGGATAGAATTCCATGGATGCAGCGAGCGAATGATGAAATTGTGTTATCGGAAGCATATATGTATTTTACGAAAATGATGACAGAAAGATGTTGTAATTATATAAACTCGATTATAAAGAACTCATCACACTGGTATTTTGGCCTGGGGGGGATTTACAACAAGACTTCAATGACACCCAGAATTAAGACATTATAAGAAAGAAATCCTACTGTCACTAGGAATTTCTGCGACCTAATAGACCCCCGTCTATGTCCCGTTAATTTTCCCAATTTCTGCCTCATTAGTGGCTTTACCCCCTGATGTTGGTACTCTTTTATCAGAATCAAATTTAGCACAGTAATTAAGTAGGTCGACAAGGCTCCCGCGTACTTAACTACGTTGAACTATCTTGAGACCGCTTTTGGCGCATCACAAGGCTTAATTAATTAATTCATCTCTCGCTCTATACCAGTGATATGAAATTCTCTAAATTGATTTATATAAGTATGGGAAATTGTGGAAGGATTTAAATTGAAGAAGAGAATGATATTTCTTTATATACTATGAAAACTGCAAAAAGGATTAGACTACAAAGCTGTAAATGAAAGCAGTAAGCTAGTCTAAGAAAGCATTAAAGACGTGGCCAAGGGAGGGGAATACGCCCACTCCCTTGGCCTTTCCTGTGGAGAACTCCCTTACAGGGTTGGAGCTCTCGGAAACAGGAAGACAATGAACGCTGTGTATATTCTGAAAATCGTCCAAGAATTCGATTATCTCTACATACAGATATCTGGCCCTATTTATAGCAGGTGTAACGAGACGGTTGCAAGAAGCTGTTGGGCAGTTCCAACCGCTGGGCAGTTAGGCGGTTGCAGGTGGTTATTCTGTTGAAGCGGTTGCTGGCCATAACTCCCAGGGTGTCCGCTTCGCTTGCGTTGATGGCACAGATCTTCCTCGCTTGCTGGAGAACAGGAGGGCATCAGCGTAGCACGGCTCGCTTGAGCTAGCTGGAATTGGAATGGCTGTACCGCTGCATTTGAAGTACTTAGTTGAAATCTGGTGATAGTCTGCAGCGGCGGGTATCTGGACTGTCGCTTGCAAGCGGGAGAGGCTATCGCTTGCGGCTATAAAGGTGGCCGCTTGCCTCTCATGCCTTAGTGTTTTCAAGGTGTGTTTTGGGCGCTTGCGAGCGAAGGCGGCTGTCGCTTGCGGCGTCTGCCTTAGCTTTTCTGGCTCCAGAATACCGCTTAAGAGGGCAAAAATCGTTAATAATCTCAACAATGAATTCTGGGTCATGCCTGGTGATATAAATCAATATTGTATGCCGATTACGAATTATTTTGATGGTTCTTATGCAAAAATTCAAGTAACACACATTTTTGTCAAGCTAAGAATATGCTCATATTTGGAGTCATCAAACCTCCTCACACTAAACCTTTGTTCGTCCTCGAACAAACTGCATTAAAGGATCAAGAGGTTATTCCGTTCACGGCAATCAAGAAGTGCTAATAACCAGTGCCATGATTGGGAGTAGAGTGAATCTCAAATAGTAACAAGTGAAACACAAGTATTCAGCATGTCATTTGATTTAACGAGATTGGAGTTGTCCAGGTATTGTCAACTTTGTTCGCTCAGCAGAGATTCTTTTTTTGATCTAGGAAACCTTCAGCCGAAGGGCGTGGAGAATATATGTATATTTTTTTTTTTTTGGATCGTGAGTTTCAAACAAACATTGTGTCTGCTCATGATCTTATTAGGTTCTCGCACGCCTAGGCCTTTTCAGTTCCTTTGTAATGATAGGTCCTCCCTGCTTTGCTTGCATCGTATCTTAAACCAAATTTAAGGACTTCTCTTTTCAAGTTATGCCTTATGAGCAATGTTGAAAAACCTGGTCACTTGCCTTACTGAGTATGGAAAGTTGAAACGAAGGGGGCACTAGTTTTTCACAAGTCTCTTTCGCTGTTACTTAGTCTAACACTAGTGTTCGAGTTATGGTGAAGTTCGAAGGACAAGTACTTAGTCTGATGTGCTTAGGTTGTCTAACTCTACTCTAGAACATATCACAAAGTTAACCAAGCAGAATATCACAGGAATTTCACATAAGAGCACATACTTCAGGTTATGTTAGGCATACAATAAAGAAAAATTGTCACGAGTTACCAAAAATTGTTGTCTCCTTGATTGATGTTATGTACAGCCCTTGTTATTCTCAATTTTACATGGGTGAGGACCTTTCTTTATTTCTTCTTTTCGCTTGCTGGTCCTCGCCCTTGAGGAAGGTTGCGTGATATCTGCCGCACTAGGCCTTCCAATCGGAGGAGATTCCTGGCTGTGTCAAGCTGTTGTTCCATTAGGATGGCGTTTTGTTGGGTAAGAGCTGCGAGAGCTTTCATAATTTCATGCAGCGTCGTACCCATGCTTGCAGCCAGGGTCTCTAGCGCTTCCACTCGCTCTTCTAGCGCGGCAGTCGCTTTCTTTCCAGTAGTCAGTTCATTACCCAGACTCCTAGCGTATGTGTCTATTAATGTCTGAGTCATCATGTATTGGGTGAGAATGGCTGAGTCGAGTTCATCCAATCTTCTTTCAATATTTTCCAGTGATGCGCGGGGGGCTGATGGTCCAGCACCCGCCGCTTCTGGTGATTGTCGCTCGCTCTCAGCTGAACTGATCTCCACTGGCTCTTCCTCGTTTTGGGAATCGGGTGCTGGCTCAGGGGAGACATCCCTGAGGAATACTAGCTGCCTCGCTGCCTCGTACTCCTGCTGTTCTGCTTTCTTCTTTTGTAAATATCTTCTGAATCGCAGCTGGAGTTGAGTCAGCGGTTTCCAGTATTTCAGCAGCTTGACCAGCACCTTCATTTTCCTTTTTCTTTCTCGCTCGAGCTGCTGCATTCGTTCGATTCTTTGTACTGCGGCAAGCAGCTGAGCTTTCTGTTCTTGGAACTTCCTGTCCTGTTCCTCCTCCTCCTCTTCTATAAGTGTTTTATCAGATTTGGTTGAGGCAGGAGTCAGAATTTCTGCGGGTGTCCCGATCATGGTATGCGTTCCTGGGCTGCTTGGGGATACCTGCAAGACAGGAAGATTTAGAATCACTGCCTCCACCTTTTCGGCTTCATTGGCAGCTTCAGCGGTTGTGGCAGCGGGGACCTCGGCGGGATATTCTTTGTATGATTCAATGGTGACATCGATCCCGCCAATAGTTTCTTCGGTGAATATGGTCTCCCGCTCCTCCTCTGCTCCAGCAGCAGTAGGCTCCACCGCTCCCGGCTGGTTAACGGGTGTGGTTTCTTTGCCTATTCCAACAGCAGTTGGCTCACCTGCCCCCTGTTGGTCGAAGGGAACAGGTTCATCGCCAGATGGGCTTGGCAATATCTCCTCTAATGCTGGCCGTGCCGGCGAAGGTCTCTCGGGTTGGGCGGTGGGTTCTCTGATGACGATCCCCTTCCGTAGTCTGGAGAGGGGAATCGTGTCCTCGCTTGACTCTACATCCACCGCTTTCCCTTCCCTTTCTCCTGCCTTGTCGCTCGCCGAGGGGGTGTTGGATTTTTTCGCAGTGCTTCTTTCACCCTCGGCTTTTTGACAGGCGGCGGAGCAGGGTCTTCTTGTTTCTTTGACCTCTTTTCGCCCACGGCCGCTTGCGGCGCCTTTCCTTCCTTATTACTCCTAGTTGTTTTAGCCCCAAATAGATTTTCCTCAATCTCCCGAGCGAAGCGGAGGGTTTCCTCTTCCTCATCGCTGGGAGCTTCATTGGAAACTGTTCTCTCAGAGTCTGGCTCGGTGTGGGGTGTCACATCTTCTCTTATGATTTCCCCCCCCCACAAATTTCATCTTTCTTTTTGGTGGAGGGGGCGCTGCCGCTTGTGCTTTCCTCTTTTTCTGCTTGGGGATGAGAGTAAACCCCTTGGACTCCAGCCAATTTTTGTGGAAGGCCGCTGGGAACAGTGGCTTCATTTGGAGTTCTGGGGCTGGAGTGGGCAAATCGACGCCCGCGCGACGGCAAAGTTCTGTGATCAGGGTCCCGTGACCCAATGTTCTGTCTCCACTTCTTCGATCCCAGATGTCTAAGCCGATGATCGCGCCCAAATCCACATCGTTCGATTCCTCCAAGATTGAGCGAAGGGCTATGAGGTAGTCAGGACGAATGTCAGTGGTGTGAGCAGTGATCATTATTCTGCTCAACGACCACTTCACCCATTCCTTTTTCTCTTCGTCCACCGACCCAAACTTCAGGTTTCTTTTCTCATATGCAGGGGTGGTGGCGAAGGTCCTGTATAGCGACTGCAGTTCAAGTGAACTGCAGACCTCCGTAGCCTTCAGCTTGTCTTGCATCTCTTGGCCGGGGTAGTGGTGTTCCCAACCCAAGAGTCGGTTGATCTTTCTGGCTGAGCAGTCTACCCATTTTCCCCGAACGTAGACATGCTTAAGACTCTCAGCCTGGTTCAGATTAGCGTAAAACTCCCTCACCAGTGATACATCCACTGGTTCATTGGGGTTTCTGATCAACCAAGACAGACCCCGCTCCTCCAGCCAGTCAGAGAGCGGGCCTGTGATCTTCTCGGGGTCAAATCCTCTCTCGTAGAGGATCCCCATTGCCTTCATCCGCTCGTACGCCGCCGCTGCGTCAATGTTGGAAAAGTGCAGTTTGTCATACTGCTTTGATCTCAATACGTCCTTTGCAGCGTCGGCAGCATTCTTCTTGGAGATATTGCTCCGGAATGCCTTCATTTTCCTTGGCGGTGCTTCTAGGCAGGCAAATTTGTTTTTAAGCTCCTTCAGCTGGTACTCCTTCAGCTGTTCGTATTCCGATTCTTCTAATTCCAGCCACCAGTCGCTCACCGGATACCTCTGCTCTGTTTCCTCAGTGTATTCGAATCTAAGGTATTCCTCCGGGAACTCTGGGATGAATTTTCGGAATGGCAGTGACTTAAGCTGCCTGAGCTTCCCCCAGTCTTCTGTTAGCTCCAATACTCTCCTCCTCTTGTAGTATGCCTCAGGTGGCGCTGGCTCTACTAATTCTGCCCCTGAGGTTGTTGTCACCACCTTACGTCCGTCCGTGGATTTGATCCTTTGGACTCTTCGTTCGATCCTCTCCTCAACTTTCTCAAACTCCTTCTTCAACGTTTCTTGCTTTGCTGGATCTATTTTGCTAAGCTTGT